GACAATTTTCTAAACTTGAGTGACCATTTAGGGAACTGACTCCCAAAAATGATAAAAGTGAAACTAATGATATTCATTAAAATGCACCAAATACTTATCGCAAAAACACTACTCAATAATAATTTTCTGATTCAACTCCAAAAATATGATATATATTTTCTCGATTAAAGTGGACCAACATACGAATAATAATTTATTTACATTTTGTCGACTGATCTTTTGAATAGTCAATGATCACAAAAATTTTAATGGATATGGTTAGCTTTATTTTATTATTTTTGACTTTACTGTTAAGTACAAGATTTGAAATGAATCTCAATCATAAATTATTTTATCGTCCACATGACATTGATTTAAGACTCATCGAACATTACTTGAGGAAATAGTATTTAACTGGGATCTTTTTTCATCATAACGGTCAACTCTATTTTCTTTTCTTCTCCAATATCCGACATGCCAACGTACAATTAGACGATGAGAGAAATGTAATATTTTTTTTTGGGTTAAAAAGGATGTTTTATATATAATATAATATAATTAAGTGGTTACAATATCACAAGTACTAGTGATTACATATAGGCACCAAAACAAGCTAATTTATTACAACTACTCCTAGTAATTAGTTAAGTCGTAGATATTCCTTCTTGATCTTCGTAGATTATAGTTATGGCGTCACTTGAAGGAGTTGATATGTTAGCATTATGTATGGATGATGTCAGATTTGCACCCATCTAAGACAAAAAATACATTACAGTACAACGGGTAACAATTATCCAAACAATATGCAAGTCTACAGTTAGTCACTCTGTATTACTAATCCATCCAAGAAACAACCATTAGATCTTTATTTATCTCAACTGTATAATTTTTCAAATAAGCAAATAGACTTGCATATGAATTATTAAAGAAAAAACCAGCACCTCTGTTGAGATTTACACAAGAAGAGGAAACAAAATTGACAGAAATGCTATTATACTTGATGATCTAATCCTAGGCTTAGCTGATAAATTTCATCACCAGAAAAATTACATCAAGACTCACAATTTTTGGAAGTTAAAAAAAGTACTTCTTGAAGCAAAACACCAAGAGATAAAAACCACTACTCTTTGTAAATCAACTAATAAATCTAGAAGTCATTGCTTTGATTTTTAAAGTTTCAAAAGATATTTGCATACTTCATATGGAAATTATCCCATCACTGCTAGTTCAAATAAATAGTAACTCAAAATTTGTATCTTCCTCATTGTTAATGAGTCTTATGTATTTACAACAACAAGAACAATGACTAACATTAAAGCATAGAAGCCAAAATCAACCCTAAAAAAAGAAAAAAATGGTAACACATACCATTCACAAGAGGTGTCTGCTAACACAAGACATTCACAAAACATCGGTGCATCACTAATACTTCAATAGCTGGACAGAACAAATGACAAAGGGGAGATCTCCTAGAACAGTGGTATATTAAATATCGTTAGATGACAATAACTTATAGCCAACGAACTTGATCCTAGAAAATACCCAGCTAACCAAATGACCAACAAGGCCACGATAAGTTGAAATAGGAAATAACAAAATCGACAAGGCCGTACTCAATAGTCCCTTATTACATCAATGTTACAACATTCCAACAGACATTGAAATGCTACAACGAGAAAAAAAAGGAAAGATCGCCTGAAAGAGTGGTATAGAATGTTCATAGATGATACTTAATAACTCATAGCCAACGATGTTGATCCTAGAAAATACTCAGCTAACCAAATGACCGATAAGGCCACAATCATAATAAATAACAGACAAGTCCACAATCGGAATAATAAGCGACACTAACCTTACTCAAGTATTTGAGCAGAAGTAGCTTCTCTTGGGAAACGAACGGACATTGCTGCTAGTAAGTTAGCATCAATTAATCGTACATGCTATAGTTGTGAAACTACATATGTGATAAATTCTTTGTGGCATAGTTCTCCTTTGTTCTTCCATTTGTTTCTCTATTTTGTGTATCCTTTCCTTCAGTTGTTGCATTACATCATATTCAAAGTTGCCTCAGAATTGCCAACGTTCTTTTTTATAGTTCTCTTCGTAACCCCACTTCATGTTGCCTTAGACGTCCCAGATGTTCAGGACCCATTACGACTGTGAAAACACCAACAAACTGACCATTTGTGCTCATTTGGTTTTAAATTTCCTCAATTTCAGCCTAACAAAGCATATCCAACAAGTAGTCTTGTAAAATAAAACATATAAAAAGTAATTGGTCTCAGTAAAAGCAATTATATTAACAATATTCATACAATTTTTACTAGTTGTGTTCATTAGACGCCTTGTAAAATAATCAGGTTTTCTTATTCTTGTGACCATAAAGAGCTCCGTAGTGGATACATGTTCCTTTTATTTTTCCTAGTAACATAATAATAGATATCAGGAATTGCTTAAATGACATGTTAAGACTAGATAATAAATAAGAGAATACACAAATTTACTATGGATTAAAGCAAAGCTCTTTTTGCCTTATGTATGTGCATTTTTCAGCTTTTTCCGGTTGCTAGTATTTGTTTCAGACATTTTCTGCTAATAAATTAGTCAGTAATGTTAAATAAAGGCATATGGATGCTACATAATGTAATATACGAGGTCAACGTCTAAATATTTATTTTTTAACAAACCCAAGTAAAGAATGTGCTTTGTAAGTATGAACATTACCATCATATGAAGCAAAAATCAATCTGCAGACATTATTCTTGTAAGTTTCAAAACTTAATTCGCAAAATCATCAAATAATCTAAGTCAAAAAAGTGAAAACTTACAACCCAATCACCATAACACCACTGGAAAGCATAGCTTATTGTTGCATTAATATGCTAATATTAAAGTCTCTCTTTAAGGTAATCATAATACTTTGTCAACTTTTTATTCAAGTAAATTTAGTTAGAAAAACAGTTAAGCAGCGCTTTAGATTAGTCATGAGTATGTTTGAAATCACTAGTCAGAAGCTCCTAAAAGTGTTCATCCATAAGGGCACTTAGTTTAGTGAAACATTGATGCAAGAGATCAAACTTAACTAATACGTAAGTTCTTAAGATTTTTATAAAGAGTTAACAGTTGAATACATGACTTTTTATCTTATCGCATTTGTATCTTATCAACTTCTAAATAAAATTATTGAGTTTAGACTATTATAAACAAGAAAAACACCCAGGAACATCAAACATGTGCTTGTTAATCTTACCTATACAGTGAGATAAGTATGAAAATCTCACTAAATGATCATTCACGAAGATTGAAGCAAAATGCTCCGTTTTAGTTGGGACTACCACACTAGAAGAAGTAAAAAGCTGCTACTATATTACATTAGAGAAGAGAATAGCAGAATATAAAGTTAAAGAAAAATAAAGCTATATCACAAAAGAGATCAAGAGAAGAATAACCTGGATGTTTAAGATTCTGAACTATATTTTACCTTAAATTTCTCAGACTTTCAATATTAAAGGAGCTCTTTAAACTGACATTCTGGAGTACAAGTCTTATCGTTTAACATCTTTTAAATAATTTTATTTATTATATGTTATGTTACCTTTTAAAAGTATATACATTCTTTAAAATAAGCACCCAAGTTTAGATATTATTTGAAATGTGAGGTTCTTATTTTCGCGATATAAATTTTTGAGTGCTATAATATTATAGATGGTAGATAGATATCACAGGGGACACTACATCTTGACTATATCTGCTACACATTCAGTCACAACAAATATGATAATATTAGGTGAACAAACTAGGTTGAGGAAATGAGAAATGACCTTGAATGCTTGTATGTTGCGTAGACAAAGAGTTTTATTATTCTTGGACTTTTTAGTACAAGTCAAAGTTCCGGCAACAAAAATAAAATTTCCACTTAAATAGAATGTGAAGTTTCTATCCCTTGGATGAAAGTTATGTCAAAAACGTTCGTTTAATCAGCAATAAAACTAGATAAATCACCACGGTCATAATGTGATGAAACATATGCACACATTGTCGTTTTCCAGAACGTGAAAGCTTAGGAACATGAAAATTTTCAAACACATAAATAAGCATACTACAACAATCATATATATAGAAATTCTTTTAATGTAGCATATTGACCACTTTTATAAGAATAACTTACTATGCATTACAAAAATCATTTTCTTATTTTTTAGATCATATAGCAATATTAATTAAATTTAATCTCAATTAAGAATGTGATCCACATCTTTTAAGATATTAAGAAACTCATGGATGCAATTATGCACCTTAACCAAATTTAATAATGCGGTTATGCAGCTTCACCAAATTATTTAATAATTAACCTTCAGTAACATAAGCCAAGAGATCTAAATGTGTTAGGACTAATAAAATTAAACAAATAAAAAATGTAGAAAATGATAAAAGTAAGTAAACCATGGCATATAGACACAAATTATTCAAAATATATAAACATAAGTATAAGTCAATAAAAGATAATGTGCTAGAACCACGGGACTCCGGAATGCCTAATATCTTTCCTTCGGCCAACAAATTTTTTACCGAATTTTTTGTTCGCAAATCAAAATATAATCATTTTTTTGTTAGGGATAAAAAACAAGGTGACTTGAAACACCATAATGAAATTCCTATTGACAACTTTAAAAAAAAATAATAGCTAAATCAATATTGTCACTTAAATTGAAATTCCTTTTACAACTTCTGTATAAACGTTATTGATTGAAAACTTTTCCTCTAAAAATTGAAGCAAATGCCATGGTGATTGGTGACCCCTTCACTTGTCTCATCATATTTATATTGTTATTTGTTTTCTGATAATGACCCTTATGAAATCAAAAAAAGTTTGTAGCATATAGTAAGATGACTAGATAATAGTACAATTTCCATGATTGTAATAGCTTGGTGATGACCAAATGAACGGTCACTCTCCTGCCTCGGCCCACAAAGCAATTAACGATCACCATATT